ATCTATTGCATTTAAACTAGTCTGAATAGATATTTGTTTCTTTGGATGTTCTTGAGCTTCAAATATACTTTTATTTGATTTATGCATATTGCTATTACAATGATTATCAACTGTCAATTTTGATCTCCATTCTACAGGTTTATTATAGTATAAACATATTAAAATATTATTATCAGCATGAAAAGTATTTGGATGTTCTTGAATTCGAGTTAAAATTGTAACAGTTTTATTTTTTGATATTGTAATTACTGTTAATTTAAAATACAAATATTAAATTCTCTGCTTTTATATTTTTACAAAGTTTTCTAATTTTATTAAAAAAATTTTTTATAGAATTTCATAGAAACTGAAACTTAGGCTTTTAACAATAGAAGGTATTCATTTATTATTTTTTTAATTGATCTTTTTCATACTAACTATTCTCTTCTGTCTTCTTTTCATATGAATTTTGAAGGATAATATAGTAATTTTAAATTTTTACGTGCTTTTTTATATAACCTTGATATAATTAATACTATTTTAGAAATATTACTTGAAATTTATAGAGTGACTATGAATTTAATTACTTTACTATTTGAGTTAGTTTAAAGATGTTGCGATCACTTATTTTTTGTTTAGTAATGTATGGTAATATAGCAGATAAGTCAGCAAATTCTATGCAGATATTTTAAAATTCTTAAATTATGTGGTATTCTGTGGTGATATAGCAGTAATTATGTGATATGACCACAATTATGTGAATTATGTGGTGTTATATAAAATAAATAAAATCACTGTCCCTGGTGAAGAGGTACCTGAGATAGGTTTAGGCTTCAAATTATAAAGTTTGTAGACTAATATCAACTCTGTTGATATCTTTTAAAAAAGGAGTAATACAGGGTTAGACAAATTATGATAGAATAGTAGGTTAGAAATAGTATATAGCCAGAAAGTTTAAATAGAGAATTTTCAAATAGATTTCAGATATAGTAGCTAGTGTAGAACTTTTAGGTGAACTACTTAAATTAAACAATCTGAAGTTGTATGTGTAGCTAGTAGTACTCTCACAATATGTAATATTTTTTACTATTTATATCAATAAAAATTCAGCTGATAGTATTTGTATAAAGTAAAAAAAAAAAAAAAAAAAAAAAAAAAAAAAA